GGTCAATTTCGTTCTTACAACGAGCACGAAGCCATTCATAGCTACAAACATCAGGGTTGGATATGTTCCTATCCCATTCCCTGATATCATGAGCCAAACAGTTGAGGTGTCTAACCTTCTCACTGAATAGCGACCGCTTTACCTGCTCGGTCAGCGGTTCATCGAGACCCGCAAGGATGTGATCCCACTTCGCGATGAACCTTTCAAGTCGCTCCTCTTCAGTATAGAAAGATGAAACACTGCATCGCAAGTTTGAGAGCTCAATTATCCTGAATGATTGCTCTCCGATATTCGCAGTCCTTAAGTGGTCGTATAAGAGCCACAGGATCTGCCTACTCTTGATGCGATTGTTGGAGCGTTGAGCGGCTTCGGTGAGACGATTAATCTTATCGATAATTGCAACAGTCTTGATGCACTTCCGAATGGCTGCATTGAACCTGGCTTCAAGGATGTGGTATTTACATTCCCCATCCAGTTCATCAAAGGTCTTTGCCTTCTCGACTTCAGTTAGCCAATTGATGACGTAAAGTCCATCATAGCTGTAGGCATTGCTAACAGCTTCCTTCATATTGGCTATCCATACCCTCAGCCCAGCCGCGTCGGGCTCTGGCGGGAGGTCTATGGGAATGCACTTAGTCGCAGCTGTACAGTTCGGATCATGGTGGCTACTGTATCCGCCGCCACCAGTTCCGAAAAGATGCTGTGGAACCTGAGAACTACTGATTGACAGTGCACATACAGGCAAAGGCGAGTAGCCTTCGGAATGCAAATCTCACATGCCCTTTTCATGCATATCTTACATTCCCCAATTTTGCTGGGGTCAGGAATATCCCGATCACACATCCGACAGTTCTTGTCAGGAGGATCGGGGCCACGCATGGTCGGCGGCTCAAGGCCTGAAGGATCCTTTCGGCCTTGTACTGTTGGGATCAAATCCTGGATAATATCCGGTTTCACGTTTATCCAGGGGCACGGGTTGCGTAGCCTTCGGAGGGCTCTGAAGGTCAGCCGCGTTGGGTTGACCCCCAGTGGGAATGTCACGGAATCTGTCAACGGGTGGCCGCAGAGGCGGCGAGTACGACCGCGTCGGGTTCGTCTCAGGTGCGCCTCCAGGAGATCTATTCCTGACACGGTTACCATCGGGATCCCTTCTTCTCCTAGTTTCGTCCCTAAGGCACGCAAGACAACAGGGACCCTGGACAAATCCAAATCTCCTGTAGTCATCCTGCCCAGCAGAATGTCTGGTGCAGTAGTAGGTCCTACAAAACTAACACTCAATTCCCTTGGTCAGGAACGAGCTCTCCCTACAGAGACCGCATCGGGGTCCGTTACGGGAACATTCTTCACACAAGTTCTCTTTGAACGAGAAACAATACTCACAAATATCACCTCTGCATCCTTTGCAGTGAAACTCAGCCATGAGGATTATTTCCATCACCTACGTATTTACACCTGGGTTTACCAGGGTCGCCAGGGTTCCCACCGGCGGCATTCTTCTTCCCCCCTCCTCCTGGGCTTTGCCGATCTGGAGGAGGAGGTGGTGGAGGATCATCATCAGGAGGGCCAGGTGGAGGTGGCCGCTTATCCGGAGTACGGGACGCGGCACGCCTTCCTCCTGTGCGATCGTTCAATCCACTACTTGATGCCTGGTTCGAGTGCCTTGACTCGAGGGAGTTAATTCTCTGGGCCGTATTACCCAGCACCTCGAGCATTTGCTCGAGCTTACTGTTGAGCGTAGTCGAAACGGCCATGTTATGAGTATTTTGCTTGTCCGTGTAGGATTTGCAGTCCCTTGACTTTATCTCAAGGTTGGCTTGTGTCTCATAAAGTTGGTCTTTAACCCACTTTATGCCGTCCCTATTATTGGTCCAGCATTGTTCGACATCTTGCATCATCCTATCAATCTGACATACCCTAGTGGACAGGTCCTCGATTTTGAGGTTTACTCCACCAATCGCAGGATGGTTGGATTGGCTCTCCACTAGAGATCTCTCGATCGCATCAACACGAGCTATAAGCCCGGTTACTCGATCAGAAAGAGATTCAAAAACAGTTTGAACTTGGGTGATGGAGCGAGCAACATCATCATAGCTGGCTCGCTCATTTAGGGCATCGCCTATGCTTGTCATGCGATTGGAAACGATCTTGACGCGTTGGCCAAGCTCGGTCACGATGTCCTTAGTCCCTTGTGACAGCTGCATGGCCGCGTTCGCAGCCTGCGTACACGTGCTACTCACATGGACGCATTGGTCGTATTTGGCCCTCCACGAGTTAACCTCAGTGGAGAGCTGCTTGATGCATTGATCACTTCTATCATTCCTACGCCCAAGGTCTTCGACCTTAGCAACCAGGCGATGAATGATCGCACTTACCGAAGAGTCCACTCTCCCTCTTTCAAGGGCTGTTACAAGATCAGCAACCTCGTTGGGTTGCTCCTCACTCGCAGGACCAAATCCTGATCCGCGATCTCGAGGAGTGGACAAATCAACCATGATCGGATTAGATCTCGGAGGTGTCCTGAAACCATCTTGTACAGCCGTTGATGGCCGTGGGAATTCGCTCCGATTAGGAGACTGACTCTGATACGGTGCAGATCTTCTGGCATCACGAACCGCTGATGGCTGTGGCATGCCTAGACCAGTCCGCATAGGAACTTCAGGCTTCATATCGGCAATGACAACGTCATGCAAATCAGTCGCATTGGACGCTCTAGACTCAGACATTGATTCAACATCGGTGGCGCTGCTGACGGTGTTGTTGTGGTTGGAACTTGATGCCATCATGGACTCAGACTCAATCGGAACATCAGCTCCGTCTGTGTTGTCAATGGCGAGAAAGGAAGCCGCATTGGGCGTAGGGCGAACAGGCTGTACATTCGGGCCACTCGACCTATTGAATTCCTCCTGGAATGCTTCGATCCCATCAAGCACGTTAATCAACGTGTCCGCGTTTAGCGGATCCCTACCGACAATCGACGCGGGATCGCCTGAGTGACCACGTCTTGAGCCCCGCACACTGGGGTTTCCCCTGTGTGCGGTCTCTCGATCCATCCTTCTAGCCCTATGCGAGCTGGCCGAGTCTGACCTAGACCGTTTGCTTGGCGTAGGACTGGGATGCAAATCCAACCTATCTACAATGTTTCGCTCCCTTGGACTCTCAAATCCTGAAAGTCCTGGGGGAGGGGACATATTCCTCATTGTCGGGTTTACCGATGGCCTTGGCCTGACATTGCGGCTGGCCACATCAGGATTGAGATTTTCAATGGACAAGGGTAGCATGAATTCCTCGCTTCCAGCAGTCCGCTTTGGGCTCTGAAACTGCGGGAAAGATGATGGGGCGGGTGGCCCTGGCATCCATGTATTGAAATTCATGCCAAAAATATTACCGTCGTTGACTTGAAAAGCTATGCTACTGGTTGGCACAGGTCTACTGCTACTTCGAGAGTCACGAAACTCGGACTGACCAATATTCATCAGCTCGGGGAAAGATGAGGATTGAGCTCCAGGTGCAATACCGGGCTCGTCATCATCACGTCCTGAGACGGAATCATCATGGCCAGGACGATTAGACCCACGACCCTGAGAGCGATTAGCTCTTGAGGCATTAGACGATAGATCATCAGTGCGAGTAGCACTGGATCTCTCTGAAGGCATTGCTTCTGAAAAAGTGTGGTCCGACAAAAAGTCAGGACCGGAAAACATCGGCTGTCCGGGCGCTTGGTCGTCATTCACAACGTCCAAGATTCCGGCCTGGCCGAGAACCCACTCATCGGTCACCACATGAGGTCCATCCTCTGTGACTCCCGCCATGAGTCCTACAGTAGCTTATGGAAAACGGCGCCTGCAGGGTTGCTATTAAATGGGGTTCGCGGTGCCAACCGAGGACGAATCCTACGGCTGATAACCTGCGAAAGGGTTTGAAACAGAGTTTCGGGAGAGAATAAACAGGCCCAATCCCACCAACAAGAAGAGATTGTTTAAGTCCCCCAGTCCCAAGGGCAAAGCGGTGCCCCCGGCTGGCACAACAAACGAACCAAAACAGGGTGCCTTTAACCAAATGATGAATGAACCCAGCAAGGGCAGAGACAACCGAAAGCAAGCACAAAGCAGCAAACCAAGCAGGCAAACAATGCAGCGAAGCGAAGCGAGCGAGCAAAGCAAACCAATGCAAACACCACCAAACACAAACACCGACCCACAACCAGAAGACGTGCCTACCGCCGCAGCCCACGGCCTGCCCCTTTTCGAGAGCAAGACGAGGTACGGCGCCGCAGGCAGCCACTGTCGCTATGGCGGCGTAGTTTGCCGTGGTAAATACTTGAGCCAAATACCGCGTTGGGTAATGGCGTACTACAAACTGCTATGATAAAAGTGCATGCCCCCAAAAACACTTTTGAACGCACCAATGCTTGTCCTTTCTTCCCCTCAGAGCGCGAGAGTGAGCTTTAGGGGAAGGCCCGGTTGCGTTTGGAGAGACCCAAAGGTATCCCACCGCCCACGAGTCACACCGAGATCTGTCTGAATTTGTGGCCAGCTGGCTCACGTCTCGGTTTCCGAACCAACAAATGAGGTGTCGCTTTGTTTCCCAGCATGTGCATCAATTCCAAACGTCAGCTCATTTGGAGAAAATCGCACAGCAGGCGGATGGTTCACAAAACTGATGACCCTGTTTGCGTCCCCAACAACAAAAGGCACTAAAGTCAAGGGTCGCAAAGGGACCCTGCCTCTGGGCAACCCAAGTTTTGTTGTGAGCTGCGAACATCAAGTGAGCGCGCAAAGCCCATTGACTTGCTGCTCTACCAACATGGCTGCCGCAGGTTCATCTAGGACCCAAATGAAACCTGGCAGAGCCAGGTTAAGAATTGGTCAATGGGGGGGGAAGGATTGGTGTTGGGCGTTGCTCAAGTGCCCGCGACGTCACATGAGTCTCTTTTTGTCCGAGATTACCCTTTATAGACTTGGCTTCGCGAAGCAAAGGGGAAGCTGGATCCTCTTCCCTGCCTTCGCAGCCTTGGTCAGCTCCTTCACGTCCCGCCCCTTCAACCTGCAAAAGCCGGTTGAGAGCTCGATGGGGCCAAACCGCGGGCCAAACCGCAGTGTCGAGGTGCGTGGCAGCATGGCAGGATGCCCCGGAGCAACCAATGAACAGGGAAGAAAACGATTTAACAGATTTTGACCCACTAACTATGATTTGCCGGCCAGGTAAGAGATCCATGAACAACATTGGCCACTCGTTTTGCGCCAAGGGCGCGCCACAAGCACAGATTCTTCCAAAGGAAGCCAGGTGTTAGGTCGCTGGGCGAGGATGTCGCGACAGAACATGTCCTGCGTTGCACACCTTCCGCCTTCAGGCCATCGCCCGAAGTGGTGGAGCACGTCAGCTGGAGGTGCCAGAGTGCTGATGTTGGTTTGATGACTGCTATCTCTGAAAAGGAGGGTGGGATCCCCCCAAAACAAAACAAAGAGGCAGCTCCCCCCGGATAGAAACAAACAACCCTATTGGGCTTGGATTGATGGTTTGGGGATTTGAACCCCTGGTTCTTGTGGATGAAGAAAAAAAAAGGCACCCCCGAAGCCCTAAACCAATCCAAACCCCCCACTTTTTGCAGGGGAGGCTCAAAAAAAAGTTCGCTCCAAAGAGTTTTTGCCGCCGGGTCCCAAGACAAAAAAAAACAAAACCCTCGGCTCGCTGGCGCCTGAAGGTCCTGGCCGCGCCGGGCTCTGCTTCCCGGAGCTCTTCCAGCAGCTCCGCCTGCTCTGTCGGAATCGCCCTGGGTGGACTTTCGCGGAATCGGTTTTCTTCGTATTTGGCGCCCACCGAAAATGGAGGTAAGACAAAAGACAAGACAAAGACATGCCAACGGTGAGAATCAGGTCAGGTCCCATGTCCCTGATGTCAAAGACCACAAGAAATCCAGTGGCATGTTTGCCCAATTCAACGAAGGGTGCCGCTCTACAACACACCACAAGAAAATTCACACCGCCGGCATGCTTGCCTTGGGGTTCTCCTCCAAACCCAAAGCTGGCTCCGTTATTTGCCCAGTTGCAAGCCGCTCCAAAAACGGACCAAACAAAAAAGAAGACAAGGCACCAACATGAAATAGCAGGCAAATCCAATGATCCAAGACCCAATGTCCACTTCGAAAATTGGGGTGCACTCGAGCAAAGGGGTGCTTTGACCATTTGTCTAAGGAACCTACACGAAACTCTACAAACAAATCGCCTAAACCCTAGATATGTGTGAACCTTCGAGCTGTAGAACTAACTCCATTTGCTAGTTTCTCTGCGCTGCATCTTTGTTGAAGGCTCCGTTCAGACTTTCTTTCGGTTGAGAGAGCAATCGTGGCCCCATGGTTCCGCAGAAATGTCCCCGACTTCGATTGGCTGTCGGCATGTGCCGTGACCAACTCTTTTGTTTGCCGTGATTCCCTGGCGTTCACCCTGTTTGCCGGGTAAATGAAAATTTGTTTAAAACGACTTTCTTTTTGTCTTCCTTGAACCCTGATGATTCAAGAGGGTCATGGCGGTTAAGCCAAAGCAAAAGCACCCCCCGTCACGGTGAACTGCCGAGCCCTGAATGCATTGCTTTAAGCCCAAGCGAACCCCGTCGGCCGCAAAGAAGGTCCTCTGGGTGCCAAAACACATATGGCAAGATGAACCACTCATCTAGAAGCAAGCCGCAACTTCAACCCAACGAAAATGAAAAAATGATGCTTAACAATTGCTCCGTATTTGGCATCTGTCAGTAGTAAGATATTCGGACTGGCTCAACTTGGCTTCTTCGGCAACATCCTTGGACAGTTTCTTCCCACTCGCTGACTCGCGTAAGGTGATCCGCTCAAAAGGTCTCCGCTCGTGAAGCGTCGTCTCCCCGCAAGGCGCTCGCTAGCCGTACCAATCTCAGCGAGCGGAGCCACAGGTCCCACCTCTGCCTTCGTGGCCAGGGCCTCGAATCCATTCGCGCATGTCTTTTTTGTTTTTCCGCCCCGCTTGGTGCAAGGAGCCCGGAAAAAGCCGATCGGTCATGGAGGTGTGTGGATTCAGCTGCATTTGTTGTCTGCCCAATGGCTTGTCTTCGGAGGTGATTTGAGTGCGGACAACCAGAGACAGACAGGCAGGCAGGTAGACATGCGGGCAGGTGGATACATAGACAGTAACCAGCGGACCAACAAACAAAATCTCCAGAATCCCCCCCACAAAAAAGAAGAAGCAATTTTGCCGAGGAAAAATTATCCTTGCGGGTCCAGTACCCTCGTCTTTTTGGGGGGTTCGCTGCGTTTCACTGGGTGGCGAGAGACGATGATTCTGGGGCCCCAAACCCGGCACACCAGCCGCAATCGCGCCCGCCGCCAAGACCTGGCAGCGACAAAAAAAAAAAAACGCCAAAACGTAGACCGAGGGGGGGGAGGGGCGGTCTTCTTTTAAGGGGAACCCGAAAAAGGTGGTTTCCCGTTGGCTTCCATTTTATTGCCACCAAAAAAAACGTAAGGGAAAGGTGGTTTTCCTGTTGGTTTCAAATTTGACGCCACCAAAAAGAAAAGTGCACCCCCCCCCCAAAAAAAAAAAAAAGGACACACCCAGACTTGCCGCATCTCCATTGTCCCATATGTCCCAGTTGTGTGGGATATGAAAACAAGTCTCGGGTGACCCGTTGAATGGTTGTTAACAAAATGAGTTCCTTTCATTTGCTACACACACTTGGTGCAAGCCGGAACCCGTTTCTTAGAAACTTCAAGATTTCAGCAATTTTTAGCCCTTCTGGGGAGCGATCTGGTGCCACTTGCTTCGAATCGCAAGTTGCTGCATCTTGCATTTGCGTTGCCAAAGTTCGGCGTGGCTGGTAGTTTGCCCCTAGGACAAGCGTGGCAAACTGCGCCGCTCTCGAGCCTTGCAGCCAAAGCAGCGACCAGAAGTCCGCCTGAAGCGATTAGCCCCAAAGCTTGAAGCGCAGCTTCCTTTCCAGCGATCACAGTGGCAAAGTGGCAGTGTAGGGATTGATTCATGCAAGCCTCTTTTCAATCATCCTTCTTTGCAAAAACCGATTGCTGTGTCCCCTTGGGGTTCTGATGGGTTTCTGGAAAGAAGGATCCTGGGAAAGAATGGGAAGTGTTCCCTTGAACTGTGCCATCGACATCTCCCCCCCCCCTGCCAAAAGTAAAAGTGGGTAGTGGGTCCTCTGATGTGTTTCTTTTCGGAAAACCCTAAGTGCGATACCCGGATCTTGATGTTACAAAGGGATCCTTTGTTCCAGACCCCCATGAATCAAATCCCAAGTCAATAGCCCTGTCAAATTCATAGGTCCCCAAAAACCAAGGATCCCTCTTAAATAGAAGATTCATCTTGGGTCACCACAGTTGGGTGAAACTATCAATGGCCCCATTGCGGTTTCATCGACGGGGATCTGTGCCATCTGCTTCCAGCTGTGCCTGAAAAATCATGATTACTCCTCAGATACCCAAAAAACAAAAACAAAACAAAAAGACAAAAAAAGAAACGGAGTGCCGGAACCGGGGTTGCGTCCATCGCTTCTCCCCCCGACCCCTCATCCAAACATCTCCGCCCGCCTGTGCTGAAGGTGGGCTTCCTCTCTGCTTTGGTGATCCTGGCGGAAGCCCAACTGCCTAAGCGGGGGGCCTGGGGGGAGGGGGGAAAAGACGGCAATGTTGCTGGCTCAAGCCGGTCCAAAAGCCGGTACTCCAAAAAGGTGGCAAAATATACGCTGAGCGTCCATCAAACGGGGATAAGAGTCCCAAAACGGAGCATTGAATGAATCGAATTCCACGAGTCGAAATCCACCCTCCTTGAATTGGGCGTTGGAAACATCCAGGCACTCAGATCTTGTTTTCCTCAAGGCTGTGTCAACTGATGGCAACTGCAAAGCGCCGGGGTGACCCGGGGTTGCAAAACTTGTCACGTCAAAAGGCAGGGTCAAATTTTAGTGCTACCGTCCAAATGGGCATGGGCCAAAGAGTTGGCAGGAAAACAATGGCAAGTGTTCACAAGAGCTCACGATGTACCTGACCTCATGGCCAAGCCTTTTCCCGCGCCTGGCAACCGCTCGCTGGTGAGGATGACTGCACAACGCCTTGGGCAATTCTTCTGCGCAGTGCGCAGGGCTGCTGCTTTGCTCACGGTATGAACATGACAGTTCAGGGCGCATCTGAGGCAGCAACGTTGACACCAGGTGGTGACAATATCATCAAGCCAGTCATGACGGACTTTGTGCCGTTCCAAAGTGACCTTGCTTACGCTCTCCAGGTTTCAATACCCTTTGATGTAGGAAGGAACATATGCGCTACAGGAATCAATTTGCACTGCGCTAAAGTGGGAACGTCAACTTGTTGCCTGCCATTCTTTCCTAGCAACAAGCTCTGAGCCAGACACGGCTTACACAGTGAATTGCCATTTGCATATGTCGGCGGGCGTAGGATCAGTTGAAGTATTTTGAGGATCAAACACTATCTTAGACCCGGATCAAGAGACATGATATTGGCAAAAAAAGTCTCTCGTTGTTGTGGTTTGCATCATTTTCAGGCAACACTGCACTCATTTTGATTCTCCAGCTCAAGAATAGCAACTTTTCAGTACAGGCGCCGTACACGAAAGTCATTTCGGCAACTCCAGTTCGGAAATGGTCAACATGGCATCGGGTAAATGCCTGTGGCATTGGAGCACCCTCATTACCAAAGAGCTATTGATTTAGGCGTTTTGCGCTGGGCCTAGAGTTGGTTTAGGGTTGGTTTCTTGGGTTTTGGGTCTGGATGGATTTAGAGTTGGGGGTAGGAAGCTTGTTTGTCGCTGGATTACAGGGTTAGCTCAACGCTCGGTGTGTTTCTTTTGGTTCAGGTAGGATTTCAGATGGTTTCTTGTTCCGGAGTGTTTAGGGCTGATTTAGGGGTGTTCAGGGTGAATGTTAAAAGGGGTTTAAAGTAGTTTAAAGTAGGGTAAGGCTGTGTAAGGTTGGCGGGCTCGAGGCGAGCTCGAGGTTGGCTTACGGTTGGTCTGGGTCTGTGTAGCCGTTGTTTGGGATTGAGTTAGGGTTGCTTTAGGGTTCAGGGAGAACTAAAGGTTGGATTTGGGTTGTTTTCAAGTTGGCTTGGGGCAGGCTTAGATTTGGCGTAAGGTTTGTTTGCAGTGGGGCTCGCGCGCGTTTGTTGCGGGTTTCGCGCGGGTTTAATGTTAGTTTGGGCTGGATGTCTTGAGGGTGGGCTTAAAGTGCGTTTGAGGTTAAGGTTGAGGTTGGTTGAAGGTTTTTTGGGATTAGGTCAACTTGGTTTGTTTGGACTGTGTCCACTCAGCACTGTCCAAAAGCAACTCAGCCAAGGTTCGCCACGCAAAAGAGGAGCCAAACAAACAGTATATAGTTGAGCTAAGCCTCCAAACGTACGTCACCGAACTTCCAAACCTCGCTATGCAACTATACGCAGCTGTCAAACAGTTCAATAACAGTTAAAACCAATTACTAGCATGTGAACAACTTGTCACATAACACAACGCATTGGCAATTGTTGGTACGAACAAGCTCCAAACATGTGGCAAGTGAGTCTCGTTCGTTTCCCATGCTCAAACATCTGCAAAACATTTACAAACAACTTTCAATCAATCCTAGATTATTTCTAAATATGCGCAAAGCAGTTCCAAACTCTTGTAAAACAAACCCAAGCAATTTCCAAACATTTGTCAATAAACACCAAAAGATCCCAAACATGTTCAAACATTTCCAAACTACAGTATATCCAAACAGTTTCCAAACATGTCCGAACAATTATCAAATGTTTCAAAGGAACTCCCAGCATGTCCAAACAACTATGATTCCCAAACATGTCCAAACAATTCTCAAATATCCGAAAGAGATTCGAAGCATTTCGAAACAAACACCAAACAACTTCCAAACATTGAAAAAAGAATGTCCACACTCCCAAACCTTTGGCACACGTTCGAGACCTCATTTTGCGGACTCTCAACCCGCTTCGGCCACCAGCGCGTTGCGCTTTGCTCAAAATGAGCGAAGCTGCAAAAGAACAAATAAATCGACAAAAGCACGGAAACAGCGCTGACAACGTGATTTGTAGAAATGGTGTGTCTTTCCGAAAGCATCGCGAAGGGTTCTTTTTGCGGAGCCCTTGGACTAACTTGCATTGAGCCAAGTTGCACAAAGCCAAGTTGCACAAACGCACAAAGCCAAGTTGCAGAGGGCCAAGTTGCAGAGCTAGGCCAAGTGGCACAAAGCCGTGGCGGGCTTGCACAGGCCACGTTGCACAGTGGCAAGTGGCACGGCACAGAGCCAAGGCGCCATGCAAGTTAGTTTGGGTTTCTGAGGCGCCGGGGTGGATCGCGTGAGGCGACCTTTGGAAAGATCAAAAAACTGAGGTCTTTCTCGATCTTTGCGGTCAGGTAGCCCCCTGGGAACCGGAAGCATGCCAAGATTCGGTAAGTGCCAGTTAATGGAAGAAGTAAGATGTCTTGCAGGGGCTGGGGATCAAACAAGCTTGTCAGAGGGATCGGATTAGCTCAAACCAACTTACGAGGGATCAAATTGGCTTGTGGGAGGGGTCAGATTGGCTTGTGGGGGATCAGATTGGCTTGCGCTTTAGCACGCTCGCGCGCGAGTACGGAGCAGCCAGTACATACGTACCACGTGGTAAGCACGTTGCGTGCTAAACTCCATCACGACACAAACATTCACACACCCTGCAAAAAAACTCCGTTTCCTGGCAACGCACGCACACATGGACACACACGCACACACAGACAAAGCTGCAACACGCATAATTTTCACCGAGGCGTTGTGCTGCTTGTGGCGGAAAGATGCGCTGTTGCTGCCTGGCTGCCTGCCACACGCGCCCTCCTCTTCTTTCTTTGCGCTTGGCTGCGTGATCTTTCAGAGTTGGCGGTGCAAAGAGTCCAGATATTGTTTTCGACGTTGTCGAGTATCAGTATGACCTTCAATACACGATGATGTACTTTTCACAAGGGGGCTTGACTCTGCCAGATGTGTCCAAGGAAAGAGCAGGCGCTCGCACTGCACGCGCAAAGACAAGAAGCACAAAGTGCGCTGCACTGCAGCCTCATCCAACGAGTACACATCGACAACTGCAGAAGTTTGCTTCTCTAGTGCAAACAAAGCTGTGCCATGGGTCAAGAAGGCGGCGTCTGCCATTGCCAAGAAAGGACTCATGCATGAACACGTCGCACGTCCGCTTAGACCAAGTTTGATAGCGACGTAGTCCAGACTGGAGAGACTGAGTCACGCCAATCCCAAGAAGACTCAACTGGTCAAGAATGAACGGCCGAGCGAAGCAAGGTCACATTGAGTGGGTACGGGATGAAGTGTGTATCGGACCGATACAACCGCTATGAGTGGGAAAGCGCTTGCCTTGCCAAAAAAAAGACAGGTTAAGCTAAAGGTTCCAAACGCAAGTCCAAAGCTCGCGTCGTCCATGACAAACCTGAGACGATTGAAGGATCAGGAAGGACAAGGACAAAATGAGGGCACAAGCGTCGCGGTCATAGGCCTCACCAAAAAAGCAGAGGCCAAGCGGCTACAGAGGCATCAAACACAGCGGCCAACAAATATATTCTTGCAGAAAAACCAGCAACGCAGCGGGCGCCGCAGAGCCAATGCCTTGTCACAGCTGGATCAAGAAACAAGGAGGTGAACAAGCTGGCAAGCAAGAGACAACCCGGGAGCGACTCCGTCCAGTCCCGGCCAGATCCTTTCACCCACCCAAATTGCCGAAAAAAGACTACACCGGTGTTTGGAACTGCAACACGTTTGCAGACGAGCTGGAAAAACCGGCCCCACACCCGAGCAACCGTGTGCAATTGGCAAGCGCAACAACAAACCGCGTCGCTTCAAAACCAGACCCGAAACAATTAAAACAGCGGCCGACACCCTGAGCAATCGTGGGGCGGTATCGAAATGACGAAACGGCGAAGCTGCGACGTGTTGCCACTCCAGAACAACAGCCAAGCGAGACACAATTGAAGACGAGTCTACGCATAGACAAGCAACATCAGCAAGTTCCAAAACAACTGCAACAATGTTTACTTTTCCCATAGCCAGCGCTGTGCCAGATGCCAAGCCTTCCAGAACCACAAAATAAACGTTGTACCAAGCAAGTAAAAAGGGCGCAAAAACGAAGCCACAACGGGTTCTCGGTTCTGAGGCAGGGTGTTCTCGCCAAATATTTTCCAAACCGATTGCACTCGGTCGTCCACCGTGTCTCAGCCCGAAAAGAACATGTGTCTTTTTGCTGCCGCACGAAACTCTCAAAGGCACATTTTGCAAATACGAAGCCGCCGCGTTGGTTGACCTGGTTCAAATCAATTTTGCAATGTTTAAATGTTATTTTCTTGAAAATATTGCAATTTTAAAGAAGAGCAATTCAATCTAATCTAAAGTTCGCTTCACACGGACACTGTTCGAGTGAACAAGAACCAAGACAAGAAAAAAACAAACCATGTTTTTGTTCATTCACATCTTTGTTCAACCTGCGCACAAGCCAACAAAAACAACAAGTCGATCTGACGCTCAAACCCCAAAAAAATCGAACAAACCAATATGACCCCTTCCACAAGCCAATCAATATTATATAATATAATTTTTACCAGCCAATCTCACACTCTCCACAAACCAATCTAACCTTACCAATCCAAAATGCGGCTTTGGGCAGCCCAGGGAATAAAAAGACCTTAAGTGGTGCACGGTGAGGGCACCCGGTGACACAACTTGTTGCTGTGAGTATGACCAGGTTAAAGAACGTGGTGTGAGAAAGCAGGTTGATTCAGCTTTGAGTTTTGTCACGTTCTCTCTCTCTCACACACCCACACACGGCAGCCAGTGGCAGCCAGTGACAGCCAGTGACAGCCAGTGACAGCCAGTGACAGCCATGTTTTGGCTTTTGAAAAAAACATGTACATTCGTTTTTCGGCACACAATCGGCAGGGCAGTGACAGCCAGTGACTGCCAGTGACAACCATTTTTTGGTTTTGCAGTTTTGTCTCTCTCTCTCACACACTCTCTCACATGGCTGCCAGTGACAACTAGTGACAGCCACTTTTTCACATGGCAGCCAGTGGCAGCCAGTGACAGCCAGTGACAGCCAGTGACAGCCAGTGACAGCCAGTGACATTTTCTGGTTTTTGAAAAAACCGTTTGTACATTTGTCCCCCGGCGCAGCGTACGGGCCCATACTCTCACAATCGGCAGGGCAGTGACAGCCATTCA